AAATTAAAATAAATTATATACTTTAAATTCCTATAAACACATCATATAATAATTAAATTAAAAAAAACAATAACCAAATAAAAAAATAAAAAAAAATACTTTAAATTACTCTTATAGTCCACCTTACAATGTTTTTCCCGCATCTTTTTAAATATAAAGACTAAATTAGAATCAATCACCCTTCTCTTTCAAGCTATATCTCAAATTACGCGTCTCAATGGTTCTCTGAAGTTTTATTTAATTCTCCCAGGCTTTGAATTTTTTTAACAAGAATGAGATTATATCAATGTACCACCTTGTACTTCTCAACATCGTAATGATGGTTTGAGTCTTGAACTTAATAAAAGTTAGGGTAATTTTTCATTGATTTTACATTAAAAACCGATTGATTATGAAAAAAAAAAAATGTTAAAACCGATTGATTATGAAAAAAAAAAAAAAAATTGGCTATGATTCAGTTTCAAAAATCCAAAACTGATTGAACCAGACATGTTCAAAAAGCACAGAACCGAGATTAAAAAAAAAAAAGAGTATATACAAGCTTATTTTAAATTATATGTTTCTATCACGAAGAATTGGTCATCTCAAGTAAAAACGGTCTCATGTCGTATTCCAGAGCTCAAATTCACCTCTGGTTTTCCCTGGAAGATCTTCGTTTGGATAATGACGAATTAAACCGAAGCAATTTAAGTTTGCGGTAGTATAAATAGATTTTAAAAGTATTTTTTAATTAAAAATATATTATTTTTTTTAGATTTTTGATATTAATCCATTAAAATCTTAAAACAATTTAAAAAATATTAATTTAATAACTTTTTATGTAAAAAACAGTTTGGAAAGTATATGGAATCACAAAATAATCACCCCCCTCCATGCACCACGTTTTTTTTGTTGTCTTTGTTTTGACATATTTATTAGTATATTTGTCCTCATTTCTTTACTATCGGACTATTTTTATTTTAAATTTAAATAAAATATTGAATATAAATATTATTATGATAGTATCATTTAATTTAATTAAATAGTTTGATTTTTAAACTTATCAATCTAATTTTTTATTTAGCATGAGTTTTGAATTAAATTGTAACATATCTAATTTAAAGTGAATTATTTAATTTAATAGATTTAGAAATAACTTAGATAATCAATAAAAAATAACATAAATTTATTTGTTTTGACATATTTATTAGTATATTTCTAAACCTATCAATCTAATTTTTTATCTAGGTTGAGTTTTGAATTAAATTGTAAGATATCTAATTTAAAATGAATTATTTAATTTATTAGATTTAAAAATAACTTGGATAATCAATAAAAAATAACATAAATTGAAAATAATTAAAATAATAATTTTTTTTATATTAAAACAATATCATATTAAATTGATCTCGGTCACTCTGTGACTTGGATCATAAAAATTATGGGTTTAATAACTGTATTATTTTTATTTAATTTTATTATAGCATTAGATATTTTTAAAATCGAGCATTAATCCCAAAAAAAAATATTTATTTGAAATTGTGATAACCATATAAAAAATAAAAATAAATTATAAATTTTATTTTTCAACCAATCCAATATTAAATAAAAGTGAAATAAAAAATATAAGATTTGATGGGTAAATCCATTAAACTTGTAAATTAAATAATTCATATTAACACATCAAATTCGCAAACTAGTAATGAACTCCATTAAGATTAATAACTATTATTTATTTAACTATATGATAAAAAATTAGACCATAGTAAAATCAAACATCAAACCATATTGAGACTATTTTTAAAATTATGACAACTTTATAAAAAATAAATTATAAAATTTAACTCTTGATCAGTCTAACATCAAGGAATGAAATTATATATATATATATATATATATATATATATATATATATATTTATATGATTTAGTTTAATTAAAAAAAAATACCCTGCTAAACCAGGGTTATCTCATTAAACAAACAAGAATAATCAAAGTTATGTTGTCAAACTCGCAAACTAAATTATTGATTCCACAAAGTTTAATAAACTAGGTTTTTTCAAAATTATTTTTATTTAACTAATTTTTTTTTAAAAATAAATCATATTATGATGCTAAAATATTCTTTTGATATCAACTCGATGTTGGGATTT